GGGATAAAATAAAATCAAGTAGTCACAATCCATATTAAGACGAATACACATGATCGAATTCAATGCAAGAGAATCATACAAGGTATTTTGCGCGCTATTGATCGATTCGCGGGAGAATCTAGGTCTCAGAAGACTTCAAATTCGGTCCTACAGCTCCTAGTCAGCAATAATATGTCCTCTACAATTACCCTTTGATTTGAACACCCTCTATAGAAAATTTGTTTAGGTAATCACTGCAAAATTTGAAAGCACGAGCGGTGTTTCTAAACGAGTTTCACAATTACAGACAAGTCCCTTGTGGTTTTAGACGAAAATTTCACTCTCATCAGTTCGTGTAGTTAAACTCTAACCTTTGTTTCTGGAATGCTGTGATAGAGACACTTCGGCAAGGCTTTCCACCAATGTGATTTCTTTATTTTCATCTTCATGCCGCTCTTATCGCACATTTCCCGAATACGATACCTAAAGATGTGAGAGCTCAGTGAACGAATACCTCTTTGTTTTATGTTTGCCCGAAGGAGAACTTACTCGCTGGATAATCACATTTATGTGTTAGATCCGTGGTTTCCTGAAATCATTTTTTAGTGTGCATTCGCCTTGGCTGAATGAATCTCTCTGATGTCAAGATCGACATTGATTCGAAATTTCATCCAGAACTCCGATTTAAAAGATTCTTTGTTTGTAGCACTGACCCAGGTCCGTGGCAGATTTGTGCCACAAAGACGACAAAGTGTCTCGAGATACTGAATGTGTTCATCCATGCTGTTGGCTTGATCTGAAATTCATAATGTAGGATTATAAAGGTCCGATAAATAATTGTCCTTTTACTTTAAATTGGTCGGCCACAACGTATGGTTAAAATTTATGGTTTACACGATACTCCGATGGATCTGAACAAAGGAATCTGTCTGGTAGTTTGCACACTAACAGACTTTCAACATTCATGCACTCGAGCAAAAACCTCGTGCACTCGATTGGAATTTTGACAAATTGGAAGCAAATTTATTCTAGTTTTTTAAAAGATTTTTTTTAGGAATCAAAAAAAATGTTGCATACCTGAAAACCTCAACTAAATAGAGGTTATTCCTCGATCGAGCCCTTCGCAACATGGACCTCCACCCGACTTTTCATCTGAATTTTTCCTTCTCGTCATCGCGACCACCATCAGTTCTTTGCTTGTTGTGTGTAATTGCTTGTCTTCTGTAATTTTGCAAGGTTTCATGGGATATGGGTAGGGAACTAAGTCGCTAGGGCTCGAATAAAGTAATGAGTGAGTTTCCTCGATGTCCCACTGCGACATCCATGTTGGTGACGTCATCAAGTATCCAGAAATGGTTATGGCCCGGACTGGTTGCGAATAGTTTTGAATGCAAAGGTATGTTTAGTTTCCTACAAACCTTTTAGCTCGTCAAAGCAGCACTGGAACTAACCTGTTGCTTCTCAGGTGGCCATTGTCGTCCAATTGTCGTCAATTCCCGTCATGCAGCTGCTCTTGTAATCCCACCTACACTGGGAATGGTTTTAAATGGAAAGGTACATTTGGTTTCCTACAAAAGTTTTAACTTATCAAAGCAGTATTGGATAACACTAACCTGTTGCTTCTCAGGTGGCCATTGCCGTCAAACTCCAATTCAGATCCTGCTGAATTAATTTGGATTTCCATCGTGACTTTTTTAGCTTCGTTGAGTGATAATATCTTACACATGGGCTACTTGATCTCTTACTATAGATGCCTAGTTGCTGTTCTTGTACATGACAGGTTTCACCACTGATTGGCAAGCTGCCAGAATTATAAGACGTTAGAAAACATCTTGAACCATTGATTGTAATAACCTAAGTCCTCTCGTCTATTGTTTTTGTGAACAACGAATGAGGACTCCTCCCTAACAAAACATAAAACATCTCAGACATTTGTATTCACAGACATTCAAACGTGCGCTTGTTGTTGAATTGGAAGTCTTATCGAGTCTACAATTACCGCTGCTGGACCACAGTCTTAAATAGAAACAGAAACAGGTCGGTTTGTATTGAATAACCCTTACTGAATGATGGTCGTCGACTCGAATTAGTGTTGCATTCAAAACAGAAATTCTTACGTGCACTGTCTAACGAGTCATTACATTTACATTCCTTACTGACTCGATGAAATCTATGGCCTTTGATGAAGGTGAGTTATATACTGGGAATAGTTAATATTTCAATCACTAAACTGATATGCATGTATGCTGTTTGCATTCGACGGTTCAATTTCATTTCGCTGATACAATTTTGTTTACGCGGTGAGCTAATATAATCTACTACACAAACATGCAATTGAAAATTAAGGGTAAGATGAATTGTCGCGCCAAAGCTTTAAACTCGAATTCAACGGGCATGAAGTGTTCGGGAAGAAATTATTTCTTGTAGCTTGGTTTTGTAAACATGAACGGATGTAATTTAACATTTGGGTGCTTTCATATCATCCCTCTTTGAAAATTTAAAAAGAGTTCCAAAATAAACCAAAAACCACTGAAGCTAACTCTAAAGTTAATTTGTTATCGTGAAGAAGCATATTTTGCCGTTTAAGATTACTTTTTTGCATAAGAACAATTCTGGTAGATGATCGTTAATGAGTAGATCAACTTTTTCGTAGTATAAATTCGTGCGATTAATTACGGTAGCATTTCTTTCCCCAGTTTTAAGTTTTCCAAACATTTATCCCACTTCAACGTTAATCTCGACATCAGTGACCTAACACATAGTTCATTTCTACTTTTTACTCTTTGATGGTTTCAACAAAGCTCTCCAAGGCTTAAAACATTGATTCAAGTAATTTTTTTTTTCTTTGACATGTTAATCATGTTGACTTTTACCTGAGGGGAGCTATAGAACGTGAATAGGGAATGGATATATAACTTGAATAAAAAAAATTCATAGAAAAAAGGAAAAATTATTAAATCAATGATGAGACAATTATTTAATGCCTTCCGTCGCCGGAGAAGATGCAAGTTAAAAAAAGTTTGACCCTGAATTGACACATTTCGATTAACATGCTACATGATGTCAGACAACAATGGTTGGTCTCAATGCAAATTAGCATGAATCTCCTCTTTTCTTGCAAACTGTTCCATATAAAGAGCCATAGGGAACCTTTTCAATTATGTATTTCTTCATGAAACAAACAATAGTCAAGCACCTGTATTTTTAAGATAATCAAAACTATAACAAAATTCTTGAACGTGATTGATTATCCCCAACCCGATCTATAATGATACAAGGACCGAGTGGAGTCCAATTCGGTCTGTAAGCATACGAGGGATTAATAAAATAAAAACTAACCAACTAACCATTTGACAGACACTAAACATCAGTTATGCGTTTTCCTGAAGAAAACGATGGTTAAGTCGGCCAAATGCGAGAAAACAGCGGGCGCGCATGACGCGTTCTGTCTACTTACACAGGCATGAAGTGTTAACTATCCCTTTAACTTTCCTTTGACACCGTCCAACTACAAGCATGACGCGTACATCGACTTATTCGTGCTCAAATCAGGCTGGTGATGACCAAACGCGTCCGAGAATTTTGTTATAGTTTTGATCAAAGCTCTAATGGAGAAGATAGATTATTTGTAATCTCTTGGCGTTCCCCTTTTCCATTGTCTCATCTGAAATAGTGAGGGGCATGCCGAGTCGGAAAATAAAAAATATGCAGTGAAGGCTCCTGATTTTAGAAGTACTCAAAATTCGCAAATTCAGTTAGTTCCGTGTTATATTTTTGGAGACAGCAGCCATACAGCACTCTGCCATACATCAGTCTTCTCATCAAAGTTTTAGTTCATTGTTGGGTTAGGCTTTTTTTCGCCGAGGGATTCTCCAAATTTTTTAAAAGTTTGCTTTTTAGCTACTTTTGCATGATAAGAGACATGTTTAATATTAATAACGAATACTATTGTTATCGACCTAGTATTAATAAGTTGAGAAAATACATTATTATCATTGTTGTTATCATCACTAACATTACTGTTATGTATTTTTCCGAGCGAGATCGCAAAATGCTGTTCCCAGACTACTACTTCTTTGCTAAAAGACGTTTGGTAAACCATATGATCGAAGAGAAACGCGACAAGAACTTGGACGGCTGTGAGCTTTTGTGCTACCTGAACGACGACTGTGTCAGCCTTAACTTCAAAAAAGATCCTGACGATAATGAACCAGTTCACATCTGTGAACTTAATAACTGACGCCACGCATCTAAAATATGACAGTGACTTGACAACTGATGCCAATTTTTATCATCGTGGCTCGAAGGTGAGTTACAAATCGATTTTTCGAAATTGTAGCCGTGGAGTAATAATTCTAAGAACAATCATAAATGTTTGTGCAAATTCTCGTGCATTCGTTCATTCGGTATCTAGTTTCTTCTTTCACTCAAACCCTTGACCTTTCTCAGTTATATCATTTCAGTTTTTTTTCTCCTTCAGAATGCTTGTGATAAGAATTCCCAGTTCCAAAATAACGCAACTTGCCAGTCCGGATTTACGCTCAAGGGATATTGATGCTTGTGCGCCCCTGCATTCGAGGGAGAATTTTGTGGAAAAGGTTAATTTTCACTTCATGTCTAAAATAACCTATTCTCAAATATCAATTTTAGTAAAGCAAAAAAATAACATATTTTATAATTTGTGTTATGAGGTCTTCAATCATGTTACGGATCTCTCTGGTCATGTTCCTAAATTGCCAATGAATACTTTTGATGCGTTCTGCTTTTCTTTTTTCTTTTTTTTTTTCTTTCTTTAATTTGAATGGAGGTTGCGATAATAATAACGTCCGATTTTTGATGACTAAAATTTTGCTCTTCTTATAGGAAACAATGGTTTTAATAAAATTTCGATTATTGAATTTTGTGACATTTAGTTTCTTTATTCTTTCAGAGACTATGTTTCGTTGTATCTTATTTGTAAGGTAAAGTATGCTTGTTCTCTTTCAGACATTGACGAATGCAAGGAAGGTCATGATATTAAAATGAACGAATGCCATCCAAATGCCCCTTGCATTAATACTCAGGGCTCATACCACTGCTCTTGTCATCCCACATACGTTGGGAACGGTTTTGAATGCAAAGGTATGTTTAGTTTCCTACAAACCTTTCAACACTTCAAAGCTGCACTGAAACTAACCTGTTGCTTCTCAGGTGGCCATGGTCGTCCAACTCAAATTCAGGTCCTGCTAAATTAATCTAGATTTCCATTATAACTGTTTTAGCCTCGTCGAATGATGATATCCTAGACATGGGCTACTTTATCTCTTACTATAGATGTAAAGTCATCGTTCATGTGCATGACAGGTTTCACTACTGATTGGCAAGCTGCCAGAATTATAAGACGTTAGAAAACATCTTAATCCATTAAGCCTAACGACTTAAGTCCTGTTGCAATTTTTACTTCACTTTGCAGCCGATCAATGCTATCATTATAAAAACCTGAGTTATGCTAATAGAAAGATAAGTTACGTAACACCTTACGGTTCAGAGTTGTGTGAAAGCCAACTCCCTAAGGGATAGTATCGTTTTGTGGGGGCTGGTGGTACAAAAATACCAACAACACGTGTGCCAGCATACAGATGTGGTACCGATTGGTCAGGGTGGTTGGTTGATGCTCATCCTACAGTGGAAGATGATAAAGTTAAAAAGGAAGGTCTGCTTTAGTGATCATTCTGCCGGTTGCAAATATGCAATCACAATTTCAGTTAAAAATTGTGGATCCTACTTCATATACAAACTTTACCCACCTGCCTGTTACTCACGCTACTGTGGTACAGACTGAATGGGAAGCAAAAAATTCAATAAATAAGAGGACTCATAAATTGACCCCTAGGTGCACGTTCTTCAGGGATTTTATGAAGTCCTCTTTTTATGATTATCATTAATTTCTTTTGTAGATTTTATTCGCTGATGATTTTCTGTTGTTTGTAAAAATAATCACAAATAATCAGTACTGCTTAAAGAGCTAATAACAAAAAAAAATTAATAATAATAATAGAAAAGTAGAATGCTTAAATATTGAAATTCTAGACGAGCAAGAACACCAATCAGCATGATAACTAGCAAATACGACGAAACTCTGTTCTCAAAACGTTAGAAGCTACAATGCAGGACGCAATATATAGCATGCTCTGATAATTTTCGCTTCAGTTCATTTTAATAATTTGATGCCGCTTTGTCAGCGCTTATGATGTGTTGAGTCTGATAGTTGCTTTAAAACAAACCAAACACGATTATGTAAGGACTAGTGTAAAAATACTATGTAGCGGGAGGCAGTAAGGTTTGGTATTAAAGTTCAACTGTTTTTAGTGCAGTTTCACTCTAAAATGAAAAAAGTTTCCAAGCTGAAGAGTTTTGAAAGAAATATATTGCCCTGGTTCTAAACCTATGGAACCATTAATCTAATCATGGCGTGGGAAAGAAATCCCAAATGCCATTGTTGAGAATTTTGGGTCTAGGTTAATGTTTAAGGGTTAGAAGTTGCACACGATTCAACATTCAAGTACTTATCTTCCATGCGCGAGAAGAAAGTTAAACGCATAGCAAATGAGATAAACACCTATAAACACTATTTATTCATAAACCTAAAAAAAAAAGAGAAAATTGAAATAAATCATAGATGGTCTACTCAGAGGAAACTGAATTTGGTAGATCAGCTTTTTAAGCTGTGTAATATGGAAGAATAGTGCAATCAATCATTAAGTTTTAGAGAAATTGTGCAACTCTTAATAAATACATTTATCTTACCTAGAGCAATCTCAACTGAGTGGCGTAAAGTGAACATTAGATGAAATGCAGTGTATGTGATGTAGCAAAGATCTGATAGCGGAAAAAACCATGATAAAATTTCAAGCAGGTGCATGAACTAAGCCGGGTGCAGTGACTTTCGAAAGCCTGGAAACGGATCAGTTCGCTGTGGATGCTTTTATAACAAGTTAACTACTAACACGTAAGGTCGATATTCTTCACTATTGAAATGCGTGAGTAATATTGGCTAAAGATAATAGAGGAATTAGAATAAGTCATAACGTTTGCCACTCAACTGGATTAAAACTGTTCACCAACTGGAATTACATTTAGTGCGTACATGTATAAGCTTTCGCAGTTAGGATTGCGTAATATAACTTTACGTACTCCTTGATTTATTTGCAAGGCAATTCTCATAAGATAAACAATGCTAGTGTTCAAATGTTATTAGTCACGTAATGGTACCTATATCTGTTGCTGATGGTAGTTAGGGGTTGGCGATGCAATCAACAGAAACGTAGGCGAGGAGGAAGGAATTCGCGATGAAAAAAAAAAAAATTCCCATTGCTCTTTTCAGGAGCTTAAAATAACTACGTTTATTACCTGTAATCTGCTGTAACCATCCTGTTCCTATCAGGTTGTTGAAAAATGATAATAATAAAAAATAAAAAAAAAAACATGAAAATGCTTATTGTTCTAAGTGTTCCTGTCACCAAATAAAAGTTTAAATTAAGAAATATACATATTAAATGAAAGAAATACTTTGCTAAAGCTTGATTCCGAGTTTATTCTTCACAGCGAAGCGTGACGTTCATTGGTAGGCCTAGATATCTCTTTTGACTTTTATTTCGTGTCTAAACTCTCTACCACTAGGGGATTATTTTTAATTTTGGATCAAAATAACTGAGTTGTGCGCGGTTCCAGATTTTGATTAGGTACATTTAATTGGTAAATTAGTGTTAAAGGCGTGATCACGGGAATAACATTTCACGCCGTGACTATGCCTGTGACGATAGCGTGATCACAAGGGAATAACATAGGTGGCTTCGTCTCCTATAGGAGGCAGTGGCCATACAAATTCCGATTGGAATTCAAGAGTGGAAAGCGAGATCACAGATTAGTAATTAGATGTGATCACGGCCTGGGAAGCCTGTGATGATAGCGTGATCACAAAGGAAAAAAACATATGTGGCCTTGGCTCCTGTGGGGGGCAGGAGCCACAGAAATTGTGATCAGAAATCACGAGTGGAAAGCGTGATAACAGACCGGTAATTAGCTGTGATCACGGCCTGGGAAGCTGCAAGATACCAAGATGCTTCTGTGTAATGAGCACGCCCCTTGTATGCCAGAAGTCTGCCAGAGAATGCCCTTAAAACGAATAAGAATGTGGAAAAACAAAAAAACAAAACTAAACAAAAAAAAACAAACAAAAAAAAACAGCGGTCATTTTTTACGATGGCCCATAGAGGACATGTCACATTTTGTTTTCTTTTGTTTTTTTTTTTTGTTGTTATTAATCGCGCGATGAAATAAAACTATAGCGTGATAAATGAGAAATTATCGCGCGATAATGAAACCTTATCGCGTGATAAATGATACATTATTGCGCGATAAATGAAAAATTATCGCGCGACAAATGGGAAACTTGTTAGGTAGCACGTGATGGGCGGCCGCGCACGTTGTTTATGTGGAGACAATAACTGCCACGGTTGAGGAGGTGTGATTTGAGGTCACTGGTTTGTTTTATTTTCATGAAAAGATAATTGAGCAGTACTTTGCAATACTTCTTCGACACACAGCTCTCTGAATCAGTACAGTAAACATTGATTTTGCGAAATATAAAAAAACACTTTCAGAGGTGGCTGTCAGCGTCTGAGAACAAGTGTGCATTATCTAATCTATCTGATTACATTGTAGGTTTATAAATTACTGGATTCAGAAAGAACCTGCCAACTGTTACAGGCATTGTCGTCTCGTCCACGAAAATAACGTGTGTGACAGCCGGCCACGTGCGACCTAACAAGTTTCCCATTTATCGCGCGATCATTTTTCATTTATGGCGCAATAATTTTCCACTTAACGCAAGATAATTTCCATTTATTGCGCCAAAATTTGTTTTAATCGCGCGATAATTTGTTCGGCATGTCCTCTATGAGCCATAGTATTTTTTGATGCCTGCTAAATTTCAGTTGATAAAGAGGTAACGCTGTTAAATAGACGTTCTCTACTTTTAAGCATTTAATAATTAGCTAGAACAAACTGTGACGTAATTAAAACATGGCTAGCTCACACCAGTAAAACTCAGGTTTATTACAGTGACACAGAGCGTACTGGGAGTGGCCCCTATACATTATTTCATCATTACAGTTGAGTTCTTCAATCCTTGGTTGTACTTTTTTTGCTCAAAAATGTGCATCCGCTATTGAGGACTAGTCAGTATCCTTTACTGCTGAAAGGGCGTGAGTAATTCCACATGCAAACTTTTGATTTCGCCGGTGTTTTTCTTTTTTTCTTATTGTGACACTATTAACAAAGTGCATTTGAAAGCGCTCTTGATGGTGTATCAGATAAAAAAATTTTCAGATATACTGTAAGCAAGGAAAAAAAATCCACTCACCAAATAATTCGTATACTTGCTGTTTCTAGAGCCGAGAGACTTTACCCAAATTTTATCGTACCTTACATTCCCATCCATCTTTCGAGAACGGCGAAGCATTAAAACAGCTTTATGTGCTAAAAAAAAATGGTCTCAAAGCTAGCCGAAGTACAGACAGTTTTTTGCTCCATTGAACCACAAATATTTGGGGTCTACCATGAAAAATATTGAAAACAGCAGAAACATTATTTCTATATATTATCTCTTTGGAAAACAATATACCAGCCAGTGGATTCTTTTGACGATGGCGTGCGACAACTGTCATAAGACCACGTGATACGCATGTCGCAAACGATGATCTCAGTGTGTCGTCACAAAACAGCATAGAAATACACAGTCGTGATATTGTCTTTTGTAGACTGAAAACAGATAATTGTGCACATTTCCTGCTGGGGAGTAGGTTGAATTCATCGCGCTGACCCGTGTTTGTACTATTTTGAAATTTTTGATCTGTTTTGTTTAAGTTCTGTTTTGTTTTGCCGTGTGTTTTTTTTTTTATTTCAATATTTTTTTGCCTGAGAGTCAAGACAAAATTTACTTAATTTTACTTACAATGAAAGGCCCCTTATTCTTCGGAAAATCCTGCATACCTCATGGAAAAGGCTTATAACAGAGCTCACATAGACATTTAGTGTGACAATACGGCTGTATAATTGTAGGAATGAAACTGAGAAAAAGTGTTCGAATTCATTAACGGTTTATTATATGACCAAGGTAATAAACAGAAAAAAGATGTTGCTTTCTCACGTTGTTTTCGATATTCATGTTTTCTCTTTCATGGTACAGAAAAAGTCAGCAATGATGGGCAGGATCCATATGAAGAAGTGGAATGGATCAACACTAATGCTCTTACAATCGTACTTGTAAGGGTGACCATGTTAGACCCTTTCAGCCATGCAAAGACGTGAATGCGAGCTTAACCAAAACTAATATATCCCTCAACTACTCAGATAAGGAAAGATACATAGGAGACAGTCATGAATAGAAACCTCTACCACGTTTACTTATATATAGAATGACATTTCCCACCAACGGATTCTCTGCAACTTTATTGGAAGAGCATCCAACCGCAATAACTCGAATCTTTTGGGGAAACTCGGGTTACTTTGTTATATGC